AATCCCTCCACCTCAGCCTCACAAAGTGTTAAGATTACAGGTGTGAGCTACTGTACCTGGCCCCAGCGTTTCCTTGAAGGCCCACTGGATTTTGGGGTCAGAAGGGAATTTAAAGCACCTCTGTCCAAACCCTGACACTTGAATGTTTTCTGCAGTACTCCTGATAAATGGGGAGCCAGCTTCTCTGAAAACACGCCTCAACATGGCACTTACTCCCAAGACTGCTTATTCCTTACCTCTGATTGTTACGTTGCATTGGGGTTGCATTTTGCTCCTCTGCTGAGACTGTTCCCTTCCCTAGGTTACAAATAATCCCTGGCTATGACCTAGGTGAAGGATGCTCAACCTGTTCCTCTTCTGGGCTTGCATGTATTTATTGGTCTTGTGTGAATAAGTTGGTTCTCATGGAACTCAAGTAATGATTCAGTGAACTTATGAAAGCTGAACTCAGCTGGGTTCACATCTTTGTCAACATCATAATCCTGCTAGAAACATACGTACTGCCAAATCTACCCCCAAAGTACAGGGCCAGTAGTATCTTCAGCCTGTAACCACTTGGTTGAGCAGTGTACTTCCTAGCCCAGGCCAGCGTGTTCTGAACTTAGCATACCAGATGGGAGAGAAGAGATGCATGAGGCCAGTGCTGGTATTGAGTATCCTTGTCTTTGTGACATAGGCTTTTTCATTTGGGAAGAAACACAGTGTCCAGGACCAGAGGGCAAAACTTCTTTTGATTTTGGCTAAATGTTTATTCTGGCAGTATCAGGAATCCAGAACATGAAGCAGAGACAGAATCTAGTTTTGATGAGCCTTTTAGCATTGGAATGACCAAGTTCTTTAGCCTTAAATGTCACAGACAGCCAAGCAGTGTCCATGGGAGGCACAGATAGGCCTCTGATTGAGAGTCGGTGAAGTCATGGCCTAAATTGGGAGAAAAGACTAGCAGAAACAGAAGGAAAGGAGGAAAGTTACAAGTGAGGTAGCTGGAAAAGGCAAAAGAGGAGGTCCACACTCCTTTCTTATCCATGCTTCACTTGGTCCTTATCCCTTCTCTGTGAAGCAGCTGGGCTGGCACATCTCAGTTTGTAGTCAAGGAGCTAAACCAGGAGAAGTGAAGCAGTGTTCTCTGAGACGTGCGGTTACTAAATGGCAGAGCTTAGATCTTCCAACTCTAAAAAAAGTGTTTTTGTTTTTTTT